ACAGAAGTGATTTGAGGGGCTTACAAGGTCCTGTCAACACAACACAAGAGAATACATATAAAAGTGGAGCGAAATAAAAAGACAGAAAAGGAGGCGAATATAATGAGCCAGCAAATGGGACTAAAAGCTGTGATGCACAATGCTCTGCCCACTTGTCCCTAGAGGGCCTCAAATGTGGCTCTTGGCATCCAGGTGAGGAGATAATTTATTCAGACCAAGCCCTGAAGGAAGGGTTGGGATCTACGTTGAATATAATTAAAATGAAATGATGGCGAGTCTGAGAATTAGTGGTTTTGCAAGTTTTTCTCCACATCAGCCTGAACAGAGACCCTCTCTCCAACCCAGAGATTAGGCACTGGGGGACGTGATCACTCTAACAGGCACCTTACTCTAATTAGGCTTTGGCAATATTGCTGTACTGCAAGTTATACCTTTTGAAGTCCAAAGCAACAAAACTCTTAACACATGCGATGTCCACATAGCTTCCATAATTTACCTACAAAAATAGAAAAATAACACCAGCTAATTCAATGCTACATACACAGAAAGACTATAGAAAAGGCAGCATCTGTTATAATCTAAACAGCCTTGTGTTGCTCTTTCAGAATCCTCTTAATATTATTTTCATATTTAATTGACACATTTGCTTTTTTGCATCAGATGATGTTAAGGACATGAGAAACTGTAATTTTCAATACAATTCTATGTTCATATTACTGCTATAAATTATAATAATCATGCTATTTTGATGAAAATACATTACACTCTGGACTTTTCTGAACTACTAGAGCTCATGCTGTTAATACAGAAAATGCTAATCAGAAAGTACGTTTCTAATTATTATTTATATCACTAAAACTGACACATTCTAAGATGGGATCTGTTCTCTTATTACAAGAGCAATAAATATTCATTAACAAAACACTGAAAATATAGATCAGCGAAAAGAAGAAAATAAAAGATCCTAATGTGCAACCAAGGCTGAAAACCACCAGCTTGAGTCTCTCTCCCATCAACTCTCCCCTCACAGGCTCCCTGACTATTATGGACACACCCTTAATATCTGAACAGAAGCCCATGGACGACACTGTTGGCACACAAAGAGGACATTGCTGCTGTGGCAGGTGACCACTGACAATCCTGTGCTTATACAATGCTTTTTAGGGGGTTAAACACTCCTCACATATATTTTGTTTTGATTCTTTCGCTCGTCTTTACCTGCATTTTTATGTGATAGGGAATTGTGTACATTGTGACACAGACTACCAACTACTCAGAGACAGATATTTTAGGAAAACACAGAGGTCTCTTGGTTTAGCAACTTTTAGGCCAGAGAATATTTTTTCTAATTAATGGAGTTTTAGAAAAGCCATTCATAATACAATCTGATGTTCCTCAACTTGAGGGAACCCTTGCGCTCCAGGTGTACCTGACCTGTGGAAATACAAAGCCAGTCCCTTGAGAGGCTGGGGAACCAAACAACTTAGAGAACTGGGGGATTGAGGTACAGAACTTTATCACTGACTCACCTCTCTTACGTCTGTACACATAGATATAAATGGGTCCCATGTGCCCAACCTGAGCCCAACCTGTGTTCACATGGGATGGGGACACATCTGGCCATGTCTGGAGGGCATGGTGTGGGCAAGGCTATTTACAAGAGTGCTAAGGAAACTTTCGGAATGCCAATCATCCTAAAGGAGAGCCCATGGTGGAGGAGGGGCAAAGATCAGAGGGGAGTGGTATTTTGAAAGCTATGGAGTGTCTATCACTTGGGTCATTCTCCACAGGCGGAAGGAAGAAACTGGGTAAAACCTAGGAGACATTTCGTGTAAAGCTCTTTGAGATATGAAAGCAGAAGAGGACATAGCTCTGTGGCTCACAGAACCCAGTGCATCAGAGTAGAGGATATGACTGAAGCTGCCACAGCACAGAACACAACAGCCTGAGCACGACCGCAGACTGGCACAGAGAAGAAACAGGAAAGGGCATTAGACAGACCACTCAGGTTGGACACCAAAAGCAGAAACTACAAAGAAAGGGGTTAATAGATTTGGCTACTTAAAATTTAGAAAATTTCTATTAAAAAAAAAAAAACACACACTCAGAAACAAAATTAAAAGACAAGTGAAAAATTGAGAACAATGTTTATATCATACTCAGTCAACCAAAGATTAAAATCATTTCCACATAAAAGGCTATTATAAATCAATAAGGAGATAGTTATCACCACCACCAAAAAAAAGGAAAAGAAGAATAGGAACAGGGAATACACCAAAGGAGAAATATAAATGGCAAAAAAAGGTAAATATTTTAAATGGGCAAACACACTAGAAATCAAAGAAATGTAGCTATCTCGGACTATAAGCCCTTGGTTTTAAAATGTACATCTTACCAATAATCTATACATTTGGGTGTGTATTTGGGCTTTTGGAATTAGCCTGGATTAAAATCCCAGTTCTGCTACATATTAACTGTGGGATACTGGACAAATTATTTAGACTCTGTAAATCTCAGTACTCTCATTTGTAAAATAGAGATAACAACATTCTCTACATCACAGTAATGTCATGAGGAGCGAACGAAATCATGCATACAAAGTACCAGCACATAGTAAGAATTTAATAAATGTTTGCTATTTTATTAGTACCTATCCTGATATATTGGGTAATAATGAAACCATTGGGCTAATCGGAAACCTGGATCATCTTCCTTCTTCCAGATTTGTGAGTTACTCCAAGATTATGTACACACACACACACACACACACACACACACACAAAAGACATAATGGACAATCATTATTAAAGACTGAAATATTGGTCTCAAAATAATAGGAATAGTTAAGAATTATTTGGGTCTTGATTTTTAAACAGCCACTCTAAAAGAAACCATAATTCTTGGCTCCATTATTTTTCTGCTAGTAGAAATACTTTAAACAGTTTTTGTGTTTTTAAATCATGAGGCTAAAATCAGGAGTAGAAGATATGTACAACTTAAATTCAGGAAATTCTTTAACAAAGTTAAATTTATGTCATTAATCAAATCATTTTTATCATTTTAGAACTTATATTTTAAATTTGATAATGTTTAAAAGGTTAATTAAGGATGGACCTAGAGAATATAATGCTTAGTGAAATAAGTCAGACAGAGAAAGACAAATACTATACGACATCACTTATATATGGAATCTAAAAAAATAATACTGATGAATCTATATACAGAAACAGACTCAAAGACATAGAAAACAAAGTTACCAAACGGGAGTGGGTAACAAACTAGGAATATGGGATTAACATATACAAACTACTATACATAAAATAGATAAGCAACAAGGATTTACTGTATAGCACAGGGAATTATACCCAATATCTTGTAATAACCTATAATGGAATTAATTTGCAAAAAACACCCGAATCACTATGCTGTACACCTGAAACTAACAAAGTATTGTAAATTAACTATATTTCAATTTTAAAAAGTTTAATTAGTAACTTCTTGCCTTTTGGCAGCTAGTAAAATGCAAATAGTAATAAATTAGAAACATTCTAAAATATTTATATGTATGATGTATGCATATAGAGTTCTGTATTCAAATGATCCAAATAAAAAAATAAAATTATTTGGTCAAGTAATTTTGCTAATAGGCTTAAGATACTGATAATGATTTCTAGGAAAACTTCTTGTAAATATACTTCTTAACATTAAAAACTCTCAGTATAAGATGTAATTGTAGCAGCAGAAGTCACCTTAAATTCCCAAATCAGAGACAGGAAGCCTTTTGAGTTTACATTAGTAAACACTCCCTCATGGAATAGAGAAATTGTGGAGGCCATTAAAAAAAGGAAACAATGGAGGAGAGATTTGAAAGAGATAGAAATCACTGTACTTATGCACATTTAAAGTAACCTTTACAAATCAAACAATATGCTTCAGTTTTATATCACAGGAAATAAAGGGAGAGAATCAAAAAGTGAAGGGAAAGAATTGGGGGGAACAGAGGAAGGGAAAGACTGATCAAGGCTGATGAACACAGAAACAAGAGAGAAAAAGAAACTGAGTTAAAGAAAGGCAGACAGGACATGACAAACAGGACATGACTCAAAAAAAAAGAGAAAGAAAGGAGAACAGAGATGAGCACATGGACACATGCACTCCTTGGAAAAATATCCATGGGAACCAAATACCAAAAAAAAAAGAAAAGAAAGAAAAAGAAAAAGAAAAAAAGACACAACTCAGAAACACTCTTTAAAGAAGGAATATACTTCTCTTCTAACCTTTCTTCAATGAAGCTGTTAAAGATGATCAGAAGTGTTGTGGTTTTGCATCTTTAGGCATACACAGAGCCAAGACATCTTTTACTGGTCCCCACAGGCTGGGTAACATTGACCTAATGGTTGATTCTGGCCCAAAGGCTAGAAGTTGTCCACTCCCATACTTGACAATGAAAACTATTTAATCTTCTGCTGCATCTCCTAAAAAAGAATGCTATAAATAATAAATAATACATCTTCTGCAATTTTTTTGACATTTCACTTATAGAAAAACTGCGAGCCACTTTCTCCTTTGTACTGACTGAGGCATTCCAAAACTGGCACAGACATATTTTTATTTAAATAAATCAGTCTTGCAACTGTAATTTTAACTCGAAATTGGCAAAATCTCCTCTATTTCCTGCATATGAAAACCTTACCTTTTAATTATAATAAAGTGTGAATCCTTCTATAACCTGGATTTTTAAAAGGTATCTCCCATTGGGATAATGAAAGAGGATGTTAATGTACTAGATTCCTTGAAAATATTTTAACATTTCCATACAATACTAGAAAACTCACCTTTTCCCACTTTTAGCCTAATAGTAGTTTCTTGTATTTATGAAATAACCACATTCAAGTCTTACTGTGGAGAAGCAACATTTTTAGTTCCGTTCAATTTCTTCACTTTAAATAAATAAAGAAATCAACTATATAACCCTCTGATTATAAATCAAATCCAAGATATTGTTTGACAATGAGATGCTTTTATTAAACTCGATACATTTAACATATAAGAATTCTGTGAAAAAACTGGGGTATCAAGTAGGATCTGGGTCTTTGCATTACGAAGTCTGCCCCCAAAAGATGTCATCTCACTATATACTGTGGCTGAAAGCATACAGATGACCAAAAAGCAGCAACATCCTTTCCTGGTAAGACAAGGTCAACTGACTTGCCCATGGTATTACAAGTCCTCCTAGAAAAATTAAAAGTCCCCATCCCCATCTCTACCTATTGTTATCTCCTGGCAGGTGAGCTGTATGAAGCACCTTCATCTGTGCTTGGCATGAGGTCCACACATCATCAGCCTTGGGAAGGCCATCTTCTCCTCAACCAGACAACTCTACTTCAACTATTCTGAAACTCCTTGAAGGGGTGAAACTTCTGGAAAAATGAAAGACAGCAAGAGAGAGAAAAGGTCTGAATATTGAAAGGAATACACAAATGATCAAATTCAGCTGCACCAATGCCAAGGGGAAGGCTGAATAAGTTAGAAAACAAGCAATTTTGCAAAATGCTTTCTGATATGACAAAAACTGACCAGTGTCTCGCTGTTCCTGACATACCATTTGTGAACGCCACCCATTCTCTTACCAGGCACGGGCGTCTCCACGATGAGGTGTTTGTGGTTGGTTAACAGTTCAGTGGAGTCTTGCTCTACTGATCTTTCTTCTAGGTCTGATTCTGGGATCGTAGCACAGCCACCTAGTTGAAAAATGCAAACAATATTTTAAGCAATGTGTAGAAAAAATCTACCTCTCCATACGGCAACCTCAGCTTAAGAACGTACCAGTCATGAAGATAATAAATAAAGAGACAACAATCTTCAGGAGTAGAACAAAAAAGAATAATCTTAAATGTTTCTCTGTTGGTGAAAATGCTGGGAATGAGTCATTGCCTTTAAAGACATACCGATGAGCACTTAGCAACAGCAGCAGTGGTGTTGTCTTCAAATTTAACCCTTCTAAAGTAAGAAAGGACAAAATCTATAGCATATGTGATATCCATACTATAATGGTACCTCAGCAGAAATTCCCATTACTACCAGAGCATCAGAAATTATAAAAGAAACAAAGCACATCGACTGTGAGGGAAAGAAAACTTCCCTGAACAAAGAGGAAGGCCACTGGTGCTCTGAGTTGGTGACTATGGTGGTATTTCTCAGGAATTTGATTCTATTCCTGAATCCCAACACCTTACAGCACAGACACAAACACTTCATAATTCACAGCAAAGCCATGAATGCATTGTGGAAGCTTTCAATTCCAAGTCAATTCCAAGGTGACTTGAGGATAAGCTGGGACCACTGCACTTTTAAAATATTAGGTATAAGTCATTTGATTTTATCCACCAAAATACTGTACGGAGAACTCATGTTGAGAATTTCCTGACTACATCTGCAACTTGATTTGACTAATTTGACTAATTTTCTGGAAATGTACTAACATGCTATATACTGTATACATTTTTTCCCAAAGCCATTCTTCTTGTAAATAAAGTGTGATCTTTCCTTTTCTGAGGCTTCTCATACACTGAGTCCAAAGCCTCCATATTCAAGTTTGGCTTTATGTGTGAGGGGGCTTATAAAGGGAGGGTACCAGCAGCACTGATGTGTAAACCACGTCACTCAAATGAGAGTGAAGTCAAGATCCCAGGTCTGAAGGAAAGTACACCTTACCATCCATCCCTCTGTATCGGCTCTGAAAAAGAAATCGATGTTGAGGGAAACTTGAGAGACAAGGATTTCCACACTCATAAAATAATTAGAGGTAGCCTCAGAGGTTTCCCAAACAGGAAATGTTAGAATTATCCATCAATGCAATGGAACTTGCCCTGCTTTATCTTAAAATAGCTAGGGCCCCATCCAGAAGGAGAACCAGGCTTATTTTTAATCTCTTTCCAAAGACTGTAGATCATGGTAACAGTAACTATCATTATTACATACTTTCTCAATGCTGAAAACTCTGCCCATATCATCTCATTTAGTTCCTACAAACCACACCATGAAATAGATGTTATTATTCTGCTTTTACAGATAGGAAGACTGAGGTTTCAGGAGATCAGTACATCATTTCCTGGGAATGTTCTAACACGTTGTACACTGTACTTATTTTTTTCCCAAAGCCATTCTTCTTGTTCATTCTTTGCCAAGGTCACACAGCTCCTAAGGAGTAAGACAGAGCTCACACCCAAGCGTGACAACTCCCAAAGCCTGTTGTTATCTAACCATTTACTATATGGCTCCCAGTTGCAGCATCAACCAAAGAGATACCTGGCTGCAGGTCTTGGGTGTCAGCAGGTTTTATCTCACCTGATGATCTACCGTGTGGTTGCGAGGAGCACTGCTTAGAGTATTGTGAGGCCAGGGACAGGCCCAGAGGCGCCGGGACTTTGGAGAAGCCCAAGAAATAGCACCCTTCTTCTCCTGGACTCTCACCCAATTGAGAAAAAAGGAATAGGGTATATGCAGAGGTGGGGAAGGGGTACCTCTGTAAGATTAATAACAGGGAAGAACAGAAAGCAGGGAGTGCTCCCGGCAAAACAGAACCCTGGTCCCAAGAAAAAAGGCCAAAGAATGGCTTTCTAGACTCATAAGTCAGATTAAGTCACTTCTCCATCCCTAAGGCAGAGGGAGGGAGGAAGCAGGATGAGGGCAGGAATGTTGTACTGATGCAGCTACCTTTGCACACAAGGAAACTTCAAGACTGGGGAAGAAGTGTCTCCAGCCAACAGATGGGAGACAGTGCAGTGATCGGACAGCAGTGCTGCCATGAGTGGAGAGAGGCAGGTCTCTGCTGATTAATCAGTGTCTATCGTTTACTCCAGCTGACTAAATAGTGAGGCAAGTGAGAAGGATGAAGACTTCAAAAGCATTAGTTCTTCAATCAGGTGGGCACAAAAGGAAAAGTCACTTGCTGTAGACCATCTTGTAGACTATACATTACATAAATTACAACGTATGTAATTTCCTCTCTTGTCCTTGGCACAAAAGTTTTGCCTTGTCCAAAGTACAGAGATAACTAATTTCTCAAATCCCACTGCAGGGCTGACCAGTCACTTGCCCTAGGAATGTTACCCCCTTTTCTTTGGATACCTCCATGCGGCCAGACTGACCAACCATATGCCCAGAAGTTCTGCCACTTTAAGCTTGGAAGGAACAATAGGAAGTAAGATCTGGCATCCTAACCAATGGGAAATGGGGGAAGGGAAGGAGCCTTGCAGAAAACTCCCCTCCTGCCTCTCTCCCTGGATCTACTCTGAATTATTATTTCTTTTTGGTCAACCTCCAGAAAAGTGCTGTGTGCTGAGTAGATGCACCTGCTGGGACTCTTCCTGGCTCTTTGAGAGAAGTGGTCACCAGTGTAGGATGCATCACCTTGTATTACTTCACGTATTTCCTTGACTCACTTCCCTTTTTCCTCATCCTCCCTTCCTTGAGCTGGCCAAATAAACTGCCACTTTAATTCCTGCCTCAGGCTCTGTTTTCTTGCAGAAACCATTGACACGGGAAGTAGCACTAAAAAGCAGGCCTTCAAGATGGAATTTTGAGGTTAGATCACCCACCTATCTGTAAGAAATAGGGGTTCCATGGCTGCGGGTAAACAGACTGGGAATAACTTCTGTTATGCAATTACTTAAGCTTTCACCCATGGTTAACTGGGATGATGTGCACGTAGAGGTCAAGCCCAGGAGATCAAGTAGCTGTGGCATGGCAACATTTACAATTATAAGGATTCCAGAGTAGCGTGGCTGCTTCTGATAACTAGATACCTTCCAAAAAGAAAACGGCATCTGTCTTTCTCTTTCTGACTTACTTCACTCTGTATGACAGACTCTAGGTCTATCCACCTCATTACAAATAGCTCAATTTCGTTTCTTTTTATGGCTGAGTAATATTCCATTGTAAATATGTGCCACATCTTCTTTATCCATTCATCTGTTGATAGACACTTAGGTTGTTTCCATCTCTGGGCTACTGTAAATGGAGCTGCAATGAACATTTTGGTACATGACTCTTTTTGAATTATGGTTTTCTCAGGGTATATGCCCAGTATGCTAACACATATATATGGAATTTAAGGAAAAAAAATGTCATGAAGAACCTAGGGGTAAGACAGGAATAAAGACACAGACCTACTAGAGAACGGACTTGAGGACACAGGGAGGGGGAAGGGTAAGCTGTGACAAAGCGAGAGAGAGGCATGGACGTATATACACTACCAAACGTAAGGTAGATAGCTAGTGGGAAGCAGCTGCATAGCACAGGGAGATCAGCTCAGTGCTTTGTGGCCACCTGGAGGGGTGGGATAGGGAGAGTGGGAGGGTGGGAGGGAGGGAGACGCAAGAGGGAAGAGATATGGGAACATATGTATAACTGATTCACTTTGTTATAAAGCAGAAACACACCATTGTAAAGCAGTTATACTCCAATAAAGATGTAAAAAAAAAAACAGAAGGCAAATGCGATCTCAGGCCCCACCCACACCTACTGAATAAGAAGGGCAAATGGGCATATCTGGTGAGATTTTTGCAGGAAAAATATGTTTGTTAAAAATTTCAGAGTAAAAACAAACAAACCAACAAAAAATTTCAGAGTAAGCAGTTAAAGGAGAGAAATAAAATATAAAATTTCCAAACTAACAGAGACCTTCTGAAGCCCATTGTAGCAATGCTTCTCAAAAGGATCAGCCTAAAAATTTCCAATCTAACTAAACCAATACTTTTGTCACATATAATAAAAATGAATAAAAGGAATTAGTAGAAAAATAAAATGAACAATATATAGGCCCTTATCTTTTGGATTCAATCATTGTAAAAAGTACACTGTCAATTGCTACAAGTTTCTGAATGCTTATTCTCAGTTTCAAGTAACAGTTTGTAGACAGATGCTAGTCTTCCATTCACACTGTGAACAGCACTGATTTCAAGATATGGTCTACATTAATTAATATGATACATGGAAGTATAGTTAAAAATAATAATTCAGTCAACTCCTAATTATCAGAAGTTCAAAGAGCCAGTAAACTCATTCTGGCAACAGCAGGGGCTTCTCACAACTTATGTACCTCCCTTCTACTCCAATATCTGTCTGGCAGCTCCCTCCTTGCATAATGTCCAGAACAGCCCCCCTCTTCCCATGAATATGGGATGTCCAGGCTCTCCTTTGCCCACTGCTGGTACAATTATGGAGATCCACTTCTATCCCTGTGCTATCGTGTAAAAAGGAGCTTCATTAAGGAACCTGGGATCCCGAGTCAGAACTCTGGGGGCATTTTCATAAGGAACAATGTTATAAGTGGTGGCTTCATTTTAGATTCCTATTACAATTAAATGTTTAAAACACTTTTCTGGAGTAATCTGGAACCCTAACCCCTGCAGGTGAAATTTGAAAGCATGAAGCATGTATCACAAATTGCAAACAGTATCTATAGCATTTGGAAAAAGACAGTTTATAAATTGGAGATTTACACCCGTGATGTTTAAGAGGATGTTTTTGAGACATTTCACTATGCTCCCTCTTCCTCTGAATTATGTGCATGACCATTTGTGTTTACTAAACCTGGCTGTAAAAATTTGTTTCTTTGCAAATTAGTAGCACATTAAGATATATAGCAATCCTCCTATATATAAAATAGATAATCAATGACAAGTATAGCACAGGGAACTATATTCGATATCTTGTAAAAACCTATAATGGAAAAAAA